AATAGCTATTCATTTTTGACTAGGTTATTTTCTCTCCACGTATCCTCAAAGAAAAGAAGTGAGCCCAAACTAAGACCCAGCAGGACCAGGAAGAATAGTGCAACTCCAAGAATATACTGCAGGTTTATTATTTCCCAGATAATCAGCAATTAAACTATTTTCCATCATCTGGAGATTGAAGAGGATCAAACCTTCTGGTTCTGAGGTTCAGTGTCTTAAACAAAAAGTTTCTTTTCTCAGTACTATTTCATCAACTTTTATATAAAGTATATTTTTATAATGGCAAAGAGTTCACCAGCTTCCTGATCTCTGTTATTCTCCTAAAAGAAAACACTGACCATCAATGTCAGAGCCGGTTACTGGGCAGAGGACACAATCTAGGAAATCTCGTCACACTAGCGTCTCTGGTTCCTCAGACTGACAAACGGAGGCCCTCAAAGCCATCCTTGGGTGGCAAAGAGCTGCACTTCAGCTAAAGGGAAAAGAGAAAAGGCATTTCTCTGACCTTTAACAAAGGGAACTTGGAGTGGTCAAAAGAACACACTTCTCCCCCCACTTCGTTCTTCTAATTTTCATTCCAATATTATTAAAAAGAAATGATCCTTGGCACGCGGAGAGATAAATCTATATTTTGAATTAGTTTAGCTCATTGTTCATAGACAGCATCAATAAGCCACCAAAGGAATAGAATCGCTCTTCGGAAGCTTGGGGCAAAGGAAGTCAGACCCTGGGAACTGGCCAATGGGGATTAAAGAAGTAGGTTGCAGCTCTCTGACGGCTCATGCCTAGGGGGTGGACTTCACAGAAACTTTGATATGTAAGATATCTGTATTAAAAAAAATCGGTTACACTAAGTATATGGTGGACCTGGACATTGTTTTCAGGGTCATTGTTTACAAAGGTTATTGTTTTAGACCAGTGATTCTCAACTTGTGGGTCACCTGATTCAAAACAGAAAAAAAAATTATAGTGATGAAGTAGCAACAAAAATAATCTTATGGTTGGGGGGTCACCACTGCAGGAGGAACTGTATTAAGGGGTCCCGGCATTAGGAAGGTTCAGAACCACTGTTTTAGACCTTTGTGCCAAGAATTTAGAGACTGAAACGTGCAGGAGGGTTTTTTTTTGTATTGGCCATTTTAGTATTCATGTCTCCCGTACTGCTTTCTAATAAGTTAAGAATGAAACGGGAGACTGCGTGCAGGCGTGAGAAATGCAAGAAAAGCAGTCCTGTAAAATAAAAATGAACGAAAGCGCATTTCAACTTCACTTTCCTTATGAACAGCCAAGAGGACAACAAGGCCAATTTGACTGTTATTGTTTAACACTTCACATTTACAAAAGGACTTCACCTCATTTTACATGCTATTTCTCAGTCCTTTTCTGATAGAGCCTGGGAAGGCTGTCACTGCTCTCAACATCATTTTTCTCATGGTGTATGAAATGATGAGGATTTCCGGAGATGAGGATAAACATGCAGCTTGTGCCAGCCCGAGACCCAAACAGACTTTTCCATCAGCATAAGGAGTTCCCTGGTTTGGGGGGATGGAGACCAGACCTTGGGCTGGCAGTCTGCTCCTTCAATCCCACTCACCTCCACGCCATTCAATTCATTGTCATTCAGTGTCCCGCTCTGGTGGAAAAGGACCACTGTCTGCCCCTTTGGTTCTCGTCTATGACATGGCTTGTGTGAAGTTTCTGTCGTCCCCACAAGTGAATAGTTGTGCTTCCCTTTGTGTCTACAAGGGAGCAAGTGCGTTTGAGATAGGATAAGACACGTGTGCTCAAGCCAAGTGAGATAAAGATTCTAGGACTCAGAGGCTCTAGTGAACCTTAGCAGTTGGGTTTCGGTGAGTTTACTAGTTGGGTTGTGAGCACAGCCGGTGCTTACGAGCAGATCCCAAACAAGGAAGACCCTGTCTCCCTGTACGACCCATCCTTACAATACATTGAGCGGTCTTTCTGGGCCCACAGAACGGCACAGGGAAATTCTGCAGTGTCTAGTGTTTTGTTGGATTTGGGGAGATCGGATCATTTCTTTCCCAGTGAGAAATGATTCTTCATTTGTGATTACATGGCCCAAATCATGTGGAAATCAGTTGGTTAGCTGACCTAGTTTATTCATTTCTGCCAAAGAAGATGCCTGCATTTTAAAATGCAAACTAACAGCCGAAATTATTCAAATGAACTGTTCTCTCTCTATATATATTTTAGAAACTGTAAAAACGTGTTTTCACGTGGGGTCATATAGTCACAACCTCCTAAAAAGCCTCCACAGTCACTGTCGTCGACATAATCCTGACTCGCAGGGGCCTGTAGTCCAGAGTGGAACTTCCCCTGTGAATTTGTAAGTCTTATGGGAGTAGAAAGCCTCACCCTTCTCCCACAAAGTGGCTGGTGGTTTTATTAGCAATCCATCACGTAACCCTTAAGCCACCCTGGCTCCTAGCTGGTGATAACTCCACTTTTAAAAGTAGAAGTTCCCTGGGAAGTGAAGTTTGTTGTAGAGTGGACATTTCTTTCAAAGTGGTCACTATGTTTGGGTATAGAAAAGGGTTTTAAGTTTATTGAATATATTCCCATTATAAGAACTTTCTCTTCTCTCTCTCTCTCTCTCCCCCAGACTCTTAATGTCAACATTTTTAGAAATTTGAGTCAATTTATGTTTACTTCTTAATGTATAGATGGCTGCATATAGAAACTATAGAATTAGGTTCTCTATTCCCCAACAGTGTGTTGACCTCTTGTGTTTCTCACAACATTATTTGCCTCTCCTGCATGCAGTGCCCCTGCTGATTGCTGCCACTAATGTTTGAAGGCACCATCCTTGTTCAGTATTGGTAGTGGTGCTACAAAGATAGCAGGAGAGATACAATTTCTTAGAAGTTTTTAAATGCTAGACAATGTATAATCATAATGCTATCTTAAGAATACTCAAAAGACAAAAGGAAGAAACCATAATTCAGGATATCCCAAAATCTGTGTCATTGTTTTCAAGGTTATAAATAGGTTTTGAATCCAGGCCTGTCCAATTCAAAGTTCATGATTAAATGCCTCCAATCAGGCATTTTTTTTAATGTCAGACAACTATCAGTTTTCTACTGTACCTGTTATCTTAGCATAAAAAACACCCCTGCTTTCATATACAGAAGTTAGATGGCTGTCCTCTTTCTAAGGAAGATTTAAAGTAAGCACAAAGTAAAACAAGGTGTTTCAACTAATCATCTCCCCAAACAGAAAACCCACAGCCATTGAGGATATTCTAACTCACAGTAACTCTATGTAGGGTTTTCAGATGGTAAATATTTATCTCCCTCAGAGAGCAGCTGGTGGGTTTGAACCATCAACCTTGCTGTTAGCCGCCCTATATCTACCCCCTCAGCACTATGAGCTATCCACATTGAACCTACCCAGGTGTCTTTGGGATAGCATTTGGGTTTGTGAATGGGTATCAGTTACTGACTGGGTCCCATGGAACCCTAGTCCTTTTCCTCTGCTGTTTTTCACTGGCCTCTCTGCCCTTCCTCCCAGTCTCCATGTCTCATTCTGTGTAGGCGTCCTCTATTGATCAAATGTCAGAAACAGATACCTTGGTTTTACTTTACCTTTCTGAGGAATCTCTAAAATATAACTTGGTTACTCCTTCAGCTGCTTAAACCACTGTTAACAGTGTTTTATCCGGAAGGAATAAAAAGAAAGTCATCTCCAACTTAAACTTATTTTTCTTTCTTTCTTTTTTCTCCTTAATCCCGGTGCTTCTGTTGTGCCATTTTTAATTTTTTAAATTGTTTACGACAACCAGAGCACATAGGTGTCCAGGGAGCTCTCTCGCTGCAGCTCTTGGGCGACGCTACTGCGGGTTTCGCTGGGGTGAGCCAGCTCAGAAATGTATTATTTCAAGCACCGCCTCACATGTCTTTACTCCTCTTTTGTCCTGATGGGCAAACTATTGTCCTGTTTCCATCATTCTAACAGGTTTGCAGGAAGAGGAAAGGAAGTGAGTTTTATGTTAAGCACAGACAACCACCACCAAAACAGGGGAAAAAAACAACAACTGATAAAATAGCTAACCGCTTAGCAGACGCATGCAATACGAAAATCCAACTTTCACTTTTGTCGTTTTGAAATGTAGAGCTTTGATTTATGGATCAAAATTGTTCATTTATTATTTTATCTATACGGCTCTAGGCCATTTTGACAGTTAAAATGTAGTTTTATTGACCAGTGCAGCCACTGTGCCCACGAGGGACCCAGCGCACACAGCCTACTGCACTCAAGAAACGACGCTTTTGGATTCCATGACTGAGTCAGATTGGGAATCATAACCGATGTAACAATAAGTTCCAAATCTCAGTGCCCAAGGCAAGAGGTTTGCTGTAAAACACAATCACCCTTTAAGGAGGGGAGGAGGAGAATCTTGGGTGGAAGTTTGCAAGCACAATTTAATGTGGCTGAGACAGGCCATGAATATATCTGTTCATTCAAGACTGTGGAGCAGTGTGAGGGAGGTGGAGGGGTCCTCTAAAGACCAGGAGCCCCAGATGGAACACTAAGAAGCAAAAATGTCCAAACAGCCGAATGCAGGTTAGTTACAGAGACAACTCACTACCCGGCGTTTTTTGATACAGGCAAGTTCAAAGTGGAGAAATTCACTCGTGTGCTTAAACCATTTTGCACTTTTCAATTATCGAAGGGTTATCCATTATTGGGGAAGGATTTCTTGTGGCAGGTCTCTGCCCCCGCCCACCGCAGTTTACCCAGAAGCATAGACCAGTAAAGTGATCTCTGGCCAGTCTTCATTTAGGCCTATTCGGCTACCAAACTGGCCAACTCTCCAGTGTTAATTCACACGTTGTCTCTAAATGCGCTGCGATACATAAACACACCTCCAAAGGGTAACAGATCAATAAAATGTCTAATTTGATTAACCGTGTTTTCAAATGAATCAAGATAGCTCTAACCGGAAATAAATAGGTGGATAAATAAAGAGGTCCACTCACTTGTGAGTATTTTCCATGTCTTCTTCTCATCGTCATAATACTGCACCAAATTGCTGGGGAGCCGGTCTGGTCCAGGAGGCAAGCCTCCAACCAACAGCAGCATTTTCTTGTTAGAGCGAATTCTTCACCCAAAACAAAGAGGAGAGGAATAACCACATTATTGTAGAGTCTTTTTAGTGGCAACAAAATCATAACCATCAAAAAATGTTCCTTGCTTGCAGATTTCTATTTCATTTTTCCTGTTTCTTCTCCCATTCATGTCTCAACAATTTTTTGAACCAAGCAGAAAAATGATAAGAAGAGCTGCAGATCCCCGTACCCATGGAATAATAAGCTCCCTTTATGCAATTTGTTAGAGGTTCATTCTAGAACGACCTTTTTCTTATATTATCCCCTTAAATCATCACTCTTTACAGCTGAGTACACATGAAATGCTCTGGAGTTGTACTAAGGTTAAGCATTAAAGTTGCATGTCAAAAATCGTATTAGTCAAAATCATTATTATAAGCCATTCTCCACTCAAAGAACCTTGAAAAAATTAAGGTTATGCAGAGAGATTGTGAGCCAACTCCTTAATCACCCAGGGAACTTCAGACACCAGTTTGGTACAATTAGTAGCACAGGGTTAACTGGGGTGGGTTGCCCAGTTTTCTGATGACTTTTTGTTTGTTTCATTTCGCTTAGACTTCCACCTTCATCCTCCCCCCTGCTCATGGCTCCCCCTTCCCCTGTGCACCCCCGGCGATACAGCAGCACCAATTGGTAAAAATGAGACTGTGATGTTGTTGTGAGCCTCCCCAGAGTGGAGCCCTGCCAATGCTTGCCACTGATCCAGCGGCATGAACCTGCTCAACTGTGCAAAGTCACTCCAATTCCCTCCCTCTGTTTTTCTACCTTCTCCCCCAGGGGGCAACCACTGAAAGGAGTGACTACCCACCCATCAAGAGCTGGCAATTCGCTGCTATTAACCGTGACTGTGATTCCCAGCCTGCCTGGCAGTTCCTGAGTGCAGGCCTGCAATGTCTCATATGCAGTAAAAGCTATAAGATGCACCCTGGCCGGCACACTTGATCTGATGGATGTACAATCCTCAGGAACAGTAATGGATTGAGCACACTTGTGATGGGAGCAGGGAGGGGAGGCGCAGACCCCCACAAGGGCCCTGCTGATTTAACAGTCGCTTTACATGTAATTGAACTTTTCATTTACCTGAAAGGCTGAAGGTGGTGGAAGAAACGGGGCCATCTATGATGGAACGAGTCAAGTTAATAAGTGAATAAAAAGGGGTTCTTCCCTACATGGTGGTCCTGAATCTGTTGCTAGATAGCCAGGACGTTCTGATTCAAGGGCGCTTGGAAAAATATGCCCTTGTGGAAAAGCACTCTTTGTTGGTTAAGAACCTAACAGTCGGAGAGTTAACTTAATCCCGTTAATGGCGTTTCTATGTGCAGGAAGGGGACAAGAGAATTCCTGTAATGAAACACCGGTGCCATTGAATGCATTGTCTGAGCCTCAGTTGGGAAAACACCTTCCGGAGGAAGTCTTGTGCTAGAGACACTTCCGTAGGAGGGATGGTAGTTATAGAAAAATGCCTACTGCAATATCAGTGTGCACTATAGAGATCGCTGAGGAAGGAAAAAGAAAACAAACTAAAGACAACCAACCAACACCCCTACTACCAACAAAAACATCCCGAAACCCTGGCGTATCTGAATTTAAGGTACTTTTTGAACGGCACTACATGTCTTCTAGACGAATAATGGAAGACCACCTCAGAGCACAACAGCAAAGAACTCCACGTTCAGTGGACTGGGATGTATTCGTCACAGGTGTTAAGCAAAATCATGTGAAGAGTGCCTCTCTTTTATTTGAAGACAATGTCTCCATAAATCATGTGTCACGTAATCTACTAAATGCTTCATCGCAGAATGGCTATAAGACCATTTTTGCTGTAATAATCAACCACTTGGTGTGGATAAGAGAAGTAAAGTTAAGAACCAATCCTCTTTTGAGGCTGTTGTGAGGGACCCCAGGTAGATTGACCCACTGGACTTAAAGCCATTATTCTGCATCTGGCATCCTATGAAGACACGCTGCCAGACAAATAGATCATATCAATTGGTTAGACAAAGAAGAAAGGACTCAGGTAAGTGACAGTTGTGAAAAAAAATTAAATCTGTGTTAACAAGTAAATACCCATAGTGCTTTCAAATTATGTCTAGTGAATGACAAAGGGAGACGCATGCAAGACTAAAATAACTTCATTACCTGTCAAACCCAGCTTCCCTACCCTTCCTACTGGTGATTTTCAACCCTGAGCTAGAGGGACCACATAGGCAGATGACTAGGGCATCCAGCATCATTGTTCTCTTTGCCCGAAGAGCCAGTCTTTGCCATCTGTCCTCAAAGAACTGGACTGAGACCACCAACACATAAGCCATCGAACAGCTGGCAAATGGTAGCAGGGTCCAGCCCCTGCCAACAATGACAGAATGATGTAATTCAAAGAGCTACCATAGCAATAGTGAAGGACTCCGCCCAATCACGAAGAATCCCTAGTTCATCCCAGTCTTCTTTGAGAATGCGATGACAAGGAAGGAGGCTACAGAATGCCACACTGCATGGAAGTAAAGGAAATCCCACGGGCACCTGTTGGCTATGTGTTTTCTACAAAGAAGTGGGGCTTTGACTTCATTGTCTATGGCTCTCTGAATGAGCCAAGACACATTCTAAATCTTTTGCATGATTATATTGCTATCATCATACGTTCAGTGTACTATGGCATTTTATTTGTTCATTTTTTGTCTCTAGGTATTTGTTCTCCGGTTTTCCAACCTAGTATCAACATAATTTAATTCTAAATATAGTTTAAAACTCTAGATTATGAGGGTGAGTCATATAGGAAGTAAAAACAGGATAAAGTATGTAAGAAGAGGCACAGGACAGAAAAAAAATAACACAGGGATTAAAACCCATTGAAGTGTTTTTTTCTCAGCATTGTCTCCACTGACTCTCAACAGAGCCCTGTGTGGTAGGCACAACTCCTTATTTTACATAGGCGAGAAAGTTCCTGCAGACCATTAAGTGGCAAGAACCCTGTTCAGAGCGAGGCCTTCTATCTCCAAGAAAGTCCATGCTCCCTAAAAATTACCTCTATAAAACATATATTACTCTACCATAATACTTCTGTTAAGACCCGGATGACCTGAACGCTAGTCCGGACTCTGTTATTAAGCCAAGTCCGTGATTTTGTCTAAATTACTTGATATCCTGGAGTCTGATTTCTCAGCGTTAAATAGACTTATAATGTCTGGCTTGCCTGTCCAATGGATTGCCAGGAGAACTGTATAAAATGATGAAGAGTTCTCTCTATATAAATCTGACAGTAAATTACTATTAATCAGCCTTTAAAGACTGACACTACTATATGGGCCTTATTTCAACATGCCAATTCTGATGAAAGAAGTTTTAGCTATTTGACTTTTAAGTCAAAATAATATTTGAATTGAGATTCTTAAGCTCCTGTATATAAATATAAAGTAATTGAGAGCCCCATTGTTCCTACCCCCCCATAGTTATCATAATTATTTGTTCTTAAAAAAATCATCACTTCAATTATATTGGCTATCTTTTGAGCTTTGTTATCAGAAAATAGACATTTGGTCATTACATGAAACTATGAATCTAGTAGAGTTGACCCTAAATTTCTTATTTCTTAAGAATAATAGCAAAGGAGGAAAAAACATCCCATATTTTACTTTGATAGAGATACAATGTCAATTATTCAATTATTCCTAGAAAGTAAGACATGACTAATCCCTGTGGGGAAGTTTCCATTCGTTCTACAATGTGCATTTGCAACAGTGACGACGCCAATAATGACAGCTAATAATGAATGCGTATTGGATACTGAAGCCCTAATTTTCATGCTATTAATTTGATGAGTGTGAACTTCAATTTGAATACACACTGAAGGAAAAAAAAAGGTAAGTTGTCTGGTAGGAGAGTAAAATTAGGAGAAACTGAACTGACTAGGCTGAAGTGTGTTTCAATGACTTTTTTCTGAAATAATCCCAATAGAGCATTCCAGGTTTAATTTTCAAAGAGGTTAAAATGTATAAATGTAGTCCTGCTGCAATCATCCGAGCTCCTTTGGATGGCAACACAGCACACTCAGGATTAGAAGCTCTTTACATAGGGAACCGATTGAAGCAAACATTAATAAAGTTCTTTTCAGATCTGTTATCATTTTAAATATCTCTCTTTTCACTCCTTGTCTTAGAACACAGACCAAACAAATGCATTTCAAACATAAGAGATGAGAGAATTTGAACAAAGAGCTGAGGCGATCATGATTAATAATATTATTTGGCTTCATTTGATTTGAGTCTCTAGGTTCGTACTGAGAAAAAGATAAAGTAGGAAGGCGCCGGAATCTGAAGGTCTCCTTTGTTCCATCTCAGTAATTGCCCAACATTTACCATGTGTCACGTTTGCACGTGTGTCGCGTGTGTACGCATGTGTGCCCGTGCGCACATGTACTTTGGTTCCGGGGATGAATGATTGAAGAATGACCTAAAACCTCCTGGTGTAAACAAATTTTTCATCATACTGGTGTTATAAGTTCGGTAAAGTCTCATTTATTAATATTTCAGTGATTTGGAACTTTAATAATTGAGAACGAGGCCAGTTAAAGTTATCCTTATATTATACAGGAAGAAAAGTTTGGGGTAATGCGATTGCAAGACGAGTTTTAAGAAATCGACTGGTTTGGTGCATTTAGACAAAATCTGCTTTCGAGATAACGAGTGATTCTCATGCATTAATCTAAGACGTGATTCTGTGCTTCTCTAAGATTCCTACGTCTTCGCTTTGGAAAGGGCACTGGGAGGTCATCCAGGTCAATGATTCCAAACCTGGAACAGGCCCAGGATTATCTGGGAGAATGCAAAAATTCAGATGCTCTAGATAGAGTCTTTTGAGAGCCTCAAAAGAAATATTAGTATTGGCCCTATCATATTTGCTATATTCTGATCTTCACATTATGAAAGGGGCAGGGACTGATTGCCTTGAGCCTCAAAGGAAGTGGCCAGAAGGGGAGGAGGCGCCGAGTCCCAGAGAC